CACACATCAAGCATTGGCCTGATCACTAAACAGTTGTAGTACCTGCATTAATTTACCAGTGAGTATCCAAAGGAGATCAGGAAATCATCATGTGCATTTCTTTTCCATGCACCATTTCTTGTTGTCTTCATTGTTTGTTGTTCTGACCTACACTGGAGGAATCACTGTTGACTGCTCCACCACCATCTCAGACACAGTGTTTATAAAGCAAGCAGATGTGGAGCAACACTACTCTCAAATTTTCGCTTTTATAGACACATGCTCTACTATCAGTTGTGTGATTAAACTTCTGTTTCAGGGCAGTTTCTGTGATCTCAGCACCACCCAGCTGCAGCCCTTCTGTTCATGCATGAAGGCTGTTTAGGGCCTCTGCTGTTCCGACCACGTTCCCTGGTCGCACTTGCTTGTTTTCACAAATTCAGGCCCCACTTTCGTATTCAGACATTGTATGGGACATCTTATCCTTCTCCCCTTCTCTTCTCATTTGTCTATCCTCTCCAGCCAGCCCCTCCAAATCCGTATCCATCCATCCATCTGCCCTGAATCCACTTATATAAGAAGATAGGGTGTAAATATTTTGGTGTGGAGTGTCAGCGCATATCTCCTCCGCCAGCGGGCCAGCAGCCTCACTCCAATCAGCCATGTTTGTTTGTTCAGCTTAAACTGTTTGTGCCTTGTTTTTCGTGGCATGCGACTCCCTCTCCGCTTGATAAAGTGTCACACTTTTTCTTTTTTGCCTCTTTTTTTTTCCTTCCCCCCTCCTTCTTTGTCTGTGTTTCCTGGAAGCGACGATAGATAAGCCTGGCTGTGCTGTGCTGTGTATGTGTGTGCATATGTGCACACCAGAGTGTGTGTGTGTGTGTGTGTGTGTGTGTGTGTGTGTGTGTGTGTGTGTGAACGTGTAGGAGTTGTCAAAGCTGTCAGCATGACTGGAGTTGTTCTGGCCGGCAGCCCAGTGTTGAACAGCAGCCCTTTACTCCCTGTAACAAACACTCACATGCATACACACAAAACATCTGCTCTGCACACCACGGAAAGACTGTGTCATCATGACGCAACCCATTTCGTATTGATCAACAACTGATATGCCATGTTCACAGCTACTTTCTGGAGCATGGGATCATCCTGTAGAGGCCACAGTGCTGTGAAGACGTACCTGTTGAGGGCAGCGTATTTCATACCTGTGTCATCATTCCAATATCTGCTATATCCTCTAATAACAACAACTCCCAACGTGACCTGAGCCAGGAAGTGATCTGCACTGTCCAAACACAATGTCACAGCACCTCAGATATATCCAATTCCAATGTCATGGCTGCATATCGTGCAGTCTCCAGGTGGATTTGAAAAGAGTGATGTTCTTAGTGGATGGCTTATTTCTCGCTCTTGCACCCCACCTCCACCACACACAATAAGCAATCTGGAGATTTGTAATGGTCCGGCCCAGTGTTGCAGGGCCTGCTAATGTATTTCATGCTTGTTTAAGATCTTTGCATGCTCCTTACAAAGGTGCATTGTGATATGTGTTCCTTATTACCCTGTTCTGTATAGACTCTTAACACTGGGACATGGGAGAGTGGAGGATAGTCGCGGGGGGGGGGTGAATGGATGGCTGATGTTTTTTTTTTTTTTTTCAGTTTCCTCTTTCGTCCCCTCTCTGTCAGTCTCTTCTCACTCTCTCCTTTTCTCCCTCTCCAGTGATCTCTGCATGCCTATTAATGTAGCAGAGGAATGCCTGTGTAAACATTCTTGTTTCTCAGTCCGTTTCGCATAATAGTTGCCTGTATCGCCTTTCTCCTGACCTCACTATCTGAAACCAATTACACCAGATCCATTTGGGCTGAATCTTATTTTCATAAGGATCCCCGTGTCGTGGTCTCGGTCGCTCTGTGTGTTATTTTCCCTCGTCTTATTTTTTTTCCTCTTTTCCAACCTCAGTGATGGATATCAACATCAAATATGCCTCTGAGTGCCTTGTTATTTATATAGCAGGGCCTGGCTCTTTTTCTCTTTCTCTCTCTCTCTTTCTGTCTGGCTTGCTCTCTCATTCTGAAGAATGTGTCACATTGTGCTGTTTATACAATGTGTGCATTAATAGACTGGGGATGTCATTTTTTCGTGCATAGCAACCCAGGTTAAATAGACGGTGCTTCTGCACTCGTCTGTGTTTTTGTCCGCTCCAGCAGCTCTTCAGCAAACTTTTGATGACTTTCCTTGGCATTTGGTGCTTTTTGTGCTTTGAGATGGGCTTCAGCTTGCCATCTATGTGGAGTGGGAAGTGGGTGGCACAAATTGGTGCTTTTTACTGTAATGGCTGAATACTCAGAGCCAGTGAAAGTGAGGGGACAGGACTTTTTTTTTTTTTTTTTCCTCCCTTACCTTTCACACTGTCACAGACTCTCAGAAAAATGGCTAACCCCACATCCACAGAAGAGGTGACAGACAGTTTCAGGCATGACAAACCACTCTAGAAAAGTTTGGCCGGTGTTGATAAGGTCTGTGTTGTTGTTGGAGAAGTACTCTTTATGCAGTCTGGGCAGACTTCTTTTCTAATAAGCCTGGTGTAGTTGATCTCTCAGCTTCACCCCTGTGTGTCGCCTCTCATACCTGCACCTCCCTCTATATTTACCTGGCATGGATATTGAAAGTGCAGTTAAAATCATCTCTTCCTTTGTACTCTTGACCGTGTGTAAGATATTGAGTGGGTCTTTTGACTTTGGGTATAACACAGCGAGTCATTATTGATTCACACATGGATAAACATTTCCTCCAGGCAGCTACCTTGGGCTGCTCTCATCAAGCAGCCTTCCCTCTAACTACAGTGTGCAGGACTCAATAAGCCTTATAATTACTTTGATTCACCAATCATGCCGAGATTAATTAGGCCCTGTGTTTTAATTAGCAAAGTGATTGGCTGCATTCAAGGAATTTGTTTTGTCTTTTGTGTTGAGTTAAAGGAAGCGAAAGTCAAGCAATGTTTGATTTCCCATCCATTTAAGAAAAAGTCCACGAATGGCAAAGCTTCACGTATGTGTGTGTGTGTGTGTGTGTGTGTGTGTGTGTGTGTGTGTGTGTGTGTGTGTGTGTGTGTGTCTGTGTGTCTGTGTGTCTGTGTGTCTGTGTCTGCCGGCTGCAGGTGCTGATGTGTACTTTAGTGTGTGCTACAAGCAACTTTTTGTATGTGCTAGTGTGTGTTTTTTGAAGAAAGGCCATGGCTCAGCTTACAGATGTCACAGTACACACACGCACACGCACACAGGCATGCACGCACACATATAAACTGGTGGCGACTAGGCTCCTCTTACCAAGGAGACAGATCAATGCAGTTAGGACCCAGTGCCAGTGTAATGTTTGTTTACTTTAGTTCAGAAAGCCTGGCTCCTCCTGAGCAGCCAGACAGACAGATCCAACCCCCCTCCTCCATCCATCCTTCCTCCCAGCATCACCACCACCTCTCCAAGCACCCCCCCAAGCTCTGTCTTTTCATAATTGATCAGGGGGGTGGCTACGTTCCCTGAGGGGTTAAGACGTGGCAACTTTTTTTCCCTCCTCTCTCTCTCTCTCTCTCTCTCTCTCTCTCTCTCTCTCTTTTTCTCTCTCGTTTTTTTACTGCCTCCCTCCCTCTCTCTCTCTCTCTCTCCTGTCTTCTCCTCCTGTTTGCTCAGGATCTCAATGTACTAGTTCAAACATTGTTCCCACCAGCTGGCAGAGCTGCGCCATATGCACGCCCTGTCAAGGCAGCTGTTGTCATGGATACTGGCAAGCACCAGAAAATAAAATGAGCACCCCTGATTCCTGAGGAAGTGTCACTCTCCATCTAGTTTTTTTTTTTTTTTTTTTTTTTTTTTTTTTTTTTCTTATTTCTTGCTTCTCCTCCTACTCGTCCTCTTCTTTTTTCATCAAAAAAGAAACACCTGTGAAGTTGTTGTGTTGTGTTGTGTTGTGTTGTGTGTGTTAGTGTGTGTGTGTGTGTGTGTGTCCCACTTGATGCTCGTGGGCCTGAAGAATACAAGGTATACGGCTGTGTGGAGCAGCAGCAGTAGTGCACAATGTTCTTTTCTGCCAGACTCTTTCATCCGTCTGCTCTTGAAGAATTGAAGTGAAGCTGCTAGCCCAGCTGCCACGGTACCTGTGAAGCTGGAGCTCGCTCGTCACACACATTCAGCGCACACAGCCAGGCGGGAGGAGATCTGTAATCCCATCAAACCCTAGAGAAATAAATTACGCCACATCTCCAGCCTCTCTGATTCTTATCATCTCCATGTCTGGCAAACACATCAAAGGGTGTTGATGACAAATTTTACAATTTACAAATATGAATTTTCTAATTCTTTATGCCATGTGTAAACGGCTGTGAACTAATTTCATCAGGCAGGGAAAGGTCTCTCCTTCTCTATCTATCTACCTACCCATCTTTCCATCCATCTATCACCCATCCTCTGCTCATAAGCACACTTAATGCATAGTGTGAAACCTGGGCTGCTAGTTAATTCACTCTAAATGTAATCTGATGTTGATTTTGTCAACTTTAATTACAGCTCCCAGAGACACTTCACATGGTGCTGCCTCTACTTCAAATTGATATTATGAATATGCAAATGTGGCAGTAATTTGCAGAGAGAAGTGGGTATTTCAGTTGAGCACACACTAGACAGGTCAATTCTACTGACGCTCTGCCTTTTTTTTTCAGCCCACCACCCCCTCCACCCTCTTCTTCAGGGGTACTCTAGACAAACTGTATTTATCCTTGATCACAGCTCTGTGAATTGTTACTAAAACGTATCTCCAGCGTAGTGTTAACCGCATCAGGATGTGTTGCGGAAAATACCAGGTGATATTTGACAGGGTTCTCAGTCAGAGATGACTGTTTTGTCCCTGAAAATTTGAATTATCTCTTCTGTCAGTTCCAGTGTTTCTTTTCCCTCCTTCCCTCTTCCCCATCTTTCTTTCTTTCTTTCTTTTTTCACACTGTCTTTTGTCTTGTGTTCTTTTCTTCCCAGGCCCTACAAGCAGCGAGGCAATTACTCTTGCAGCAGCCAGGCAGTGGCCTGAAATCTCCAAAGAGCCAGGACAAGCAGCGTCCACTGCAGGTAAAGCAGCTCCCCGTCTAATCTCTTAAGTCCATCCATAATACATGCTCCTCCGAAAAGAAGATTTCCTCTGTTCCACAAGTGTGTTTGATTTGCCAACGCAATCCTTGGACCTGTCATTGGAATCCTAAAGCTGGACAAGCCGGTCCCCAGGAAGCTAAGCGTCACATAGACAGAAGAAAAACACAACAGAGACAGATCTCAGAGAGCAGAGTTTTATCCACAGGCCATTTGTCCATTTTCAAGTGTACGTTTTATGGTCTAAAAACACTTGATGTCCCTCAAACTGGACAATAATTAATAGTTCAAGTGTATCCAGAGGTTATATGGTAGGACGACAAATTGGAGGACATTTCTGATCCGTATGCTTTTCTAACTAGATCCATAGTGTTGTTGACACGGAATATCCAGAGGTTATTATTTGCAAAGACATGTCAGCCTGAGTAGAGGGTTACACAGACAGCTAATTTTAACTGCCTGTCAATTCCACTCTTCGACGCTAATTTACCTTATTGATTCGTAGAGCTGTCTATTTCTATTGTCAGTGATTTGGAAAAGGTCACACTTGTACACATATGCACGCACACACACACACACACACACACACACATGCGGGAACAGTTGCACACCAACTACACACTCACACATATATACACATTAACACATTGCCTGCAATCCTCTTTTCTTTCTGGTGTTAAGATTTTTTTCACACCGGCGAGTCTTTTCCTTCTGCTCATTTAAGCCAACAAGACAGTTAGTTGGTTTTCCTGCCTCACATTATGTAAGGCCCCTTGACATCTGCTCCATGTTTTTATTATTAGTATTTTTTTTATTTAATTTATTTTTAGCCATTTGAAATTGAAGTGTGGGAGTTGTGCCCTCCACTCTGCTAATAAGTAATATCAAGGAGCAATGGTTTACCTCATTAGAAGCTCTGTGCATTTCATTAATGACAGGGAAATTGGCGTTAACCTCACCCGTTGATATTTTCACAGTCTAACAATGGCGACACCTTGAATTGGAGTCACACCCCTGTGTACCTAATTACGCACTGGCAAAGAGATAAGGTTGGCAAAGACTCAGTCATGCTTTTGCATTTAAATAATTCAACCTCATCAAGAGTGTTAATATTATCAGTATATTCGCACACAATGGCATCAGGATTATAAACATATTTTTAAAGGCTGTTTATTTGAGTATATATATATTTATTTATTTAGCTGTGTGAAAAAAAAGAAGAGGTTGTTTGTTAAAGAAACGTTCTCTGCAGCTTATTGTGCTTCCTGTGTTTGAGGTTCTGTATGCCAGAGCGAATAGATTCAAACAAATGGGATCCTGATCTACAAATGCCTCCATAGTCACCAAGTACAATACATACATGGCAGGAAGAACAATATTGAATGAGAGCAGTGTGGGTGCATGATAACCGTCAGCCCATGTCCAAGCCCCTGCCTCTAATAACACCAGCAGATGGTAAATATTGAATATTTACATTTGCTTACTCCATCCTTTCCTGGCGTTGGCGATATGAATCAGTATGAATCGGAGGGCCTGCCGATCGGCCTGTCCTCAGCTCCCAACTAATCCATCTGTTGATCCAGCCTTTATTAACATCCTCACCTCTTTGTTCCAAAAAGTCTCCATGCAGAGCATCATAGGAAGAGAGGCATTGCTGACTCTCCCAGTGATACACACCAACACAACCAGGGCTCACTGCATTCTGGTTCAAAATCATTTTTACAGTGGGAATGTGCTGCCGTCTGCCCTTGAATCCACTCATTTCAAATGACATTTTAGCTGTAATACTCCATTGTGCAAATATCAGTGTAAGGCAGGAGAAACTCTTACTTGATTAAAAACCCTTGTTTTGGTATTCTTATTGTTCTATTTCTTCCTTCTTGTCAGTAGCATATTTTTTTTCTTTTATTCTTGTCTTTAGGGAGTTTACCCAATAAAGCTGCATTATTTACCTGGATTATGAGGCCACAATGGGCGCTATAGAGCATATTTTATTAGCTTCATGGCTTGATAAGAGTCAATAGCAATCAAGCTACATGTTTTCCACTGGAGGAATCACGCAGATTGATCCCCTTGTATGATTAGCGCAGTAGAAAGTGGGAAAAGGATTAATATTACCATGACATCCTGCTTATGGCAGAGATACTGATAAATCCTCCGCCAGTCTTTTTTCCTCTTGTTCTCCCATCTTTCGTATTTAAGAGCAGGAAATGATCCATAGATCATGGCATGTAAATTATTTAGTACACAAGCATCTAAGTGCCTCAGCTTGCAGTTTTAATTACGCGTATTAGCGGCTAAAGGCTCTCGCCTGACTAATTCTATCCGCTCGCTCATCGCTGCTCCTCAGGAGTTGATGATGCGGAGGCAGGCAGCTCTGGCATCCACATGCACACACGCACACATGTAAAAAGAAAAAAAAAACTGTCCCACAAACACACATACAAACACACACACAAGCTGCTTCTCCACATTTGCGTAATGTGACAGGTCTATTATTACACAGTAAGCCCACGGGAGCACTCAATAAACACCTATTTCTCCCTGTAAATCCCCCAGCCTCCGCCATGCTGCTTACACGGCTCTCCCAAGGCACACAACACCCTCTCTTCCCTTCTCCATTCTCCTCTGCTTCTCTCTCCCCTCACTCTCCTCTTCTATGTGGCAATATCCCCCCTCTGAAAGGCATTTATACACTGACATTTGGAATACAAATAAAGAAACGCGGACAAGGAGAGGCGGAGAGGATTACAGAGGCCTATGAATCTGACAGTTGTTTCGCTCGCACACACACACAACGCGCATAATGCATCTACACACAGCCGACACTCATACACAAGCGCAAGCACAACGACCAAGTTCTTACTTTGCCAGAAGTGACTTTGAGCAAGTGGTTTGTTAGTAGCTTTATTGATCATTATTGATAAGAAACAGGGCAGAGCTGGGCTTCACTTCAAGCAGCTTATCACTCTGTGGAAGAACAGCTCAAGATTCACTCCCAGAAAACGAACTGTAGCAGGTGCTGAGATTTAGGCGACCCAAACCTCACCACATCTCCCCCTCCTCCTCTCCTTGTGACACAGCCACCAGCTCCATATGTCAGGGGGCAAGTATAGAGCGGCTAGAATGACCCCCTAACCCTGTCTCGTGAGGGCTTGACAGTGTGGAGGTACTCCCTGACCCTTCCTCCCTGCAGTTAATGTCCAATCCTTAACCATACAAAACCTGAGAGCTTACTCCGAGTGAGTGTTGCTGCTGCTGCTCTGCCCCTTGCACACTATCAAGCTGTGAATACCTTTTTACAAGACTAATAACCTCCATCCCATCTCTGCAATGCTCCACTCTAAGTATGAATGAAAATATTTTAAGGTTTTATGGTTGGTTTATGGATGGGAAGAGCTTTAGCCCTGTTTTCTGTACAGCTTCCTGTCCAGGCCGGTCGCATTGGCTGTGGGCACTGGGCCATCTTAGGAAGTGTCACACTTTTAAAGGTCAGGTCCACACGTCTCACCACTGAGCCAATATTATCTCGATAGAAGCTCTCATCTGCTTATTGGCTTTCATCCGGAACACACACACACACACACACACACACACACACATACACACACGGATGCAGGGAAAAGGGCTGCAACGCTAGGCTTGAGTATAGCTTAGCTGACTCCAGCGTACGTGGCTAAAGGATGGTAGTTCACATTTACATTTATGAATATATCTTTCCACTGCATCCCCTCTGGTTGGATCTGAAAATAGAGAAAAATTATCACAGCGAAGGGAAAAAAGAGTGGGGGAAAATATTATGTTATTCATGAGGAAAACTTGTGTTGACTCTGAGAGAGAAAAAGAAAAAAAAAAAAAAACGTCAGCACATTTTAAGTCAAACACCCTTGGTTACTGCTTTTGTAACCAGAAAACAAGATTTTTTTTCACTCCCCATCTCCCTCCCTACCTCTCTTTTTTCCTGCATTTACAACACCTACAGGACAAGATTGCTAAATTGCGAGGACAGAGCAGGTTCATCATTGTGATGCAAAAGAAGTTGAAATGCAACCCCAAGGCGAGGTAGCTGAGTTTGGGGGATCAAGAGAAAGTGAGAGGGAGGGAGGGATAAAGAAAAAAAAAAAGTAGCTCAGACCTTTGATGTAGCAGCAACAAATTTACCTTGTGACAGAAGATACATGGGTGCAATAAACGAGTTATACCAGCCCTTACACATGCAATCTGATGATTCTGGCCAGGGTGTTAATTGGATCCTAACCGGCAGATCTGATACGCCTGGGCCCCGGTGGTGAGGGAGAAAGCCTTTCCAAGTGATGAACTATAATTCACTGAGCTGCTTGAAGCACTTGTAATTTACTGTGTGTCACTGATGAAGAGGCTGATCCAGTGGAGGCCATATTACCTGCAACATCAGAGGGACGTGCCCCCCCCCCCTTCCACCCAAGCCACCTCTCTCACTTGTGCTCTCTCTCTCTCTCTCTCTCTCTCTCTCACTTTCTTTCTATTTCAGCCCTCTCTGCACTTTCTTTTTCAACTCTCTCCCTCTCTCTCACCTCCCCTGCTCCTCTCTAACTGTCGCCCCCATTTACTCTTGAAATATGTACACCTGCAGGGAGGCATCAGTCTGGAGTCTGAATTGTGCCGGTTTAATGATAAAGGTGTGACAATTTGTACCGATAATGACACAAACAATGTGCACCAGCGATGTCACAGAGCTACACTGGTGTACACTACATTCGAGAGTCTTAATCAATGACTATCTGCATGTAGAGATAAATCAATATGGAAATTGTGCTAAGCCCGACTCAATCTCCTCAGGCTTTTTATTAGAGGCTTTTACATGATGGGTCTTTATGTTATGATAAATTGCACTTCCCATGCACTGCTGCCACACTGCTATGGAAATTGATTTAGGAAAACATTTAGTAATCTACTTAGCTTCAGCCCTGACAATCTAGAGTATTGATCTCCCTAAGCTGAAAACACGGCATGCATTTGAGTGAGTGTGGCTCACATGCATGCGTGTGTGATTTTTACATAGTAAACACATGTACCACACACTTGAACTTCAGAGTGAGGCACTTGCCAGGCCAGCTGCCCTGTAGCCTTGGTGGTCCTCGACTGGAGAGTCCCAGCTATCAATAATCGTGTGGCCACATTTGGCAGTAATTGGCTAGTAAATGAGCAGTGTCAGCTGAAAGGGAGCTGAGAGGTCAGAAGTCCACAAGCTACAAGGGGGGTCTGAGTTTGGGCCCTGTGCCCCCTGGGATGCTCAGGAGATTGAGATGAAATAGGGAGCGGGGGGCGGTGGAGAGGTTTCTCCCTTTTTTCTTTTTTTTTCTGATTTCTGTCTCTCTCTTTCCATGTGTAAAATGAAGCTAGTGGCTTAATTAGCAGTGACTCTCCCTGCCAAGGATCCACAGTAATTACTGACTAGGACCCTTCCATTTTTCATTGCATTTATCTGAGCTGTGTCTGTAGCGCAGCACAGTCCCATGTCCAGTGCTACAGGAACAACCTCTGTCGTTGATAACCGCCCCGTGATCGCTGCCCCCGCAATGTTTATGGCCAACATGTAATCACCAGTTCTCTCTGCTTATTACTGCTAAGTGAATTGTATGGAAAGAAATCGAATAAAAGGAATTCCTCTCTGCTGGACTTTAATTGTTTAAGTTTGAACTCTGATACACCACTTATCTCCTGCTTTAGGTAATTTGAGTTCACTCATAAAAACTCATTGCTCTAAAGATAAAGCACCACACAGTGGAGTGGGTGTAATTGCTGGAAGTGCGCTTGTCCATTGGTCCGGATAGTTGGAGGCAGACAGCTGTGTGAGCCAGCCAGTGAGCACCATGCAGTGGAGATGTGGTGTTTTTGCATTTAATGCCAGAATGCCCAGTTAAATCAAACATAACAAGGGACCTGGGTGCCAGCTTTGCCTGGAAGAGATACCTGAGTTCTCTGCAAAAAGAGCTTGACCTTTTGCAAGGCATTGGAGAGGCTGGTTACAGGCTGCGGGTGTGACAAGAGTGGTGTAATGATCTGCTTGTTCTGGTGAGGGTCCCACCAGTGTTTTCACATCAGGAGCCAATTTAAAGGTCCTTTGTTTTGCTCTCCAACTCTGAGGGCAAACCACATGGCTTCAAAGTTCATGTCAATACAGCTCATCGTTCACTTTCAGACAAGAGATATAAACAAATAGGGGTTCAAATGGCGAGCACAGTTTAAAATAAGCACGTTTCTCACAAATGCTTGTTAAGCAAGGAGAGATATTCAAATGACTTGTCCAAAACTCATTTGGAAGCTCCTCTTTTCTATCCAAATTTGCACTATTAAAAACAGGAGAAGCACCTTTCCTGTTATTAAGGTCCCCAGTGGCCACATCAGCTGCAGTTAATTTCAAACGATTTAATAAATCCCATTAATATTTTTTGTGCACCAGCACTGGAAATATATCCTTTTGGATTACAGAGAAACAGAGGCATAGCCCAATTGGATATCATGGCTCCTCTTCTATGAAAGAGAGTCTATTCACGGTGTGTGGATGTTTATGCCACTGCCATCGTCTAGTAAATGCTCATTAATTTTATCCCTTCGTGGCAAAATCATTTCTAGGAGAGGCAATTCAGCCTCCTGTTCCTTTCAATTCACCGCACACGTCAATCAAGCCCTTCTGCAGTATCCTGCAGAATGGAGGTGTTATATTCCTGCAATTATCATGTCATATACTCGAAAATGTAAATGAACGTGTGTGTAAAATTAAATTTATGGGTTGTCAGTGAAGAATAAGAACCAGGAGAGCAATTACTTATCTGCTTTCATCTTGGACCCTCTGATACGTCAAGCAGAAAAGCATGCAGTTAAATGCTGGAATTAACATTATGCTGCACTTCACAATGGACGTGGGCCAGTGCTTTTTCTCCCTTCTCTTTCTTCCTCCTGCCTTTTCTTTCTGTTTCTTCCCCTCTTTTTGTTTGGAGCAGTCATGAAATGAAGATGATTATCAGCAATAACGTCTCTAAAAAGCTAATGAAAGTGTAAGAGGAACTTCCCCATTTCATAACCAAGTTGTTTGCTGTTTTGATTTTTTTTTTTTCTGCTGTTGGAGCCTTGTTTGGTGTTATTCATTGTTGTTGAAATCCTGCATTATTAATTTACAGGCATCTGACTATGATATTTCACCACTGGCACAATGAAGAAACTGTTTGTAGAATTTATATTTAATTCCACTTTATCTATGGATGCGCATACATTTGTGTTAAATCCGACATGTCTAAGCCTGCATCCCTTTTACGAACCAAAACATCTTTGAGCCAGCATCCAATTAATAGTCTTAATGAGTGTATCTCTCATGTTGTTTCTCAGCTGCACTCGTCCCATTGTCACGGCATCCAACACAAAACCAGGAGTGACTGCAGGGGTAATTACTTACCTAGCAAATGTACCTTCAAGGGTTAATAACATTGAAGGTGTAAGCACAGCATTTGCATAATTACACACAGACTGTTTAATTTGAAACTTTTGACGGCTTTTGTTCCGCACCCCGCTTATTTTGAATGCATTCTCTTTTTGCGCTCTCGCATCAAGGAGTCCGGAGAAGAAAAGAGATGTACCACAACATCCTCCTCCTCCTCCTCCACCTCTTCCACCTTAGATGGAGTCCCTTCTCTCTAAGACCCTAATGAACAATGGAGGCAGGATTTGTTTGAATATGAATATGAATGTGCAGCGGGGCCGGCTGGAAGTTGACCTTCAGCTGTGATTTTCAGTTCATCAGGATTAGTCAAGGCGGGCGATCAGGAGCCACTAATGCATAATGACTTCTAAAATGAAAAATGTGTAGTGACCATGCAAATGTCTCGGCTAATCAAAGAGGGGGGAAAACCTGGGGTGGGGGGTAGGCGTTGAGGAGAGGAGAGCTAAACAAGGACGTGTCAAGGCCTGACAGAGAGAGAGAGAGAGAGAGAAGGAGGGAGGGAGAGAGAAGAGACATGCATGGAAAGTAATCAAGGCAGCTTGATTAGCTGGCGATGAGGACAGGGATGTCTTATTGGCCCCTTGACACACCATATAGGCTAGTTACTGTCATGGCAGCTCCATGCCAAACACTGTAGCAATTAGCGTCAGTGAAGGTGCGACTACATGTTGACGTTTTAATTGTGTCATGGTAGCATAAAGCTTGTCCGTCAAGAATATTTGTTGACAAGATGCAGAATCCAGCCCTAAGAAAAATGTTACATTTGTACATTGTTGTGCTCGAAACATCAAACTGTTTTGCGTCCAAGCTGATTACTTGACATTTTAAAGGTCATATAGGAAAGGAAGGGGTGATTGGACTCGGTCGGTCTAGTGAAGTGTGTGTGTATATACGTCTTATTCAGTCAATGAGAATCATCTGGTGAACCATTGTTGTTGCAGCGTGTTGGATACAAAATCTTTAACTCCACGTTGATTTTATTTTGTCTAACTCACAAGTAAACAAGTAAGTTTGAAAGTATTGTCTTTTCTCCCTCAAAGGTTGTTCAATTTTTAAGGAACCACAAGGAGCTGAAGCTGTGTAATATGACTGTTAGCCCACTCTCCCCTGTTAAAAATGTGTGTTCACAATCAAAGACCGAAGAGAAACGTATCTTTTTCTATTGATCTGATGCCTCAGAAGTGGCTTTCGCTGCCGTCTTAGAAGAATTTGGCGGAAATATAGGATATGTGTCTTTGTTTTGTTTTGGTGAAGCTCTTCTGCTGCAGTTTGACAGCTTGTATTTTAATGATTATCACTTAAAAATGACATACATTTTTCAAAATGTCAGCAAAAAGCAAAAAAAAAAGAACTTAAGTAAGAATGTAAACTTGAGAAACTTGTTCACAGCAGAGGGCATCCATAAAAAATAAAAAAAAACCTCCCTACTACATAAGCAAATGTGTTCACATCTTTTTTTCCCCCATATTTCCCAACCTGCCAACATAAAAATATTGCTCAGGGTGAACCCCCAACCTCACAGCCACGACCCACCACATCACGCTGATTGTGCCTGCCATGTGTCCACTTCATCAGTGTAGTTTTAATCAACTTTAGAGTTGTGCATTTTCACGCTGTTTTACAATAGCAGCACTGATAGGCATGTTAAAGTGGGGGAGTTCAAGGGTCCTGCTAATTAAGGTCTACGTCTATTTAAATCCCTTACTATTCCCAGTGGGTGGAGGCAGGAAAATAAGATGAGCAACACAAAGGCACAGCACCCATCTGTCCTTCAGCATCTCCTCTAGGCTGCCAAGCGTCACGGCCATGGGAGGCCTGCTCTCCCTACCTCTCCGTCACCAATTACTACACTCCCAGTAGATCCATGCCAGTATGCCTGACGCACATCTCTGATGCTCTATTTTTCTAACTTTCTCCCTTTTTTACTCATCTCTCCATCATTCCACTCCTCTGCTCTCATTGTTTACTCATCTCTCCTGTCCTTTCTCAATGTTCTTACCCTCTTTTCTTATACCTGTCCTTCACACCCGATCGTGACCATCACCCCACTTTCCGCCTTTTTCTTTCTTTCTCTCTCTTTTCCGTCTCTCATTCAACCCCACTTCCTCTCTCGTCCCCCCTGTCCAGGTTCCAGTGTCGGTGGCCATGATGAGTCCCCAGGTGATAACGCCGCAACAGATGCAGCAGATCCTCCAGCAGCAGGTGCTTTCCCCTCAGCAGCTCCAGGCCCTGCTCCAGCAGCAGCAGGCTGTTATGCTACAGCAGGTATGCGCGCGCACACACACACACACACACACACACACACACACACACACACACACACTCATACCTAAATGCATACACACCTAGACAAATATTCAGGCGCAAACCCTCTGGCGAATGCAGACGCACACATGCCTAGATGCAAGTTGACAAACGCATCGTGATCTAGATGCACAGACACAGCACAACCATATAGAAATAGTGACTGCACACATCCAAAACTAGACCCACAATCACTCTATTACTTTATTATCTCCTTATTTATACCTTTAAAGACAGCTATTTGGCATTACTGTTTGTTTTTGTGTACACACATACACAAAAACCCACACATCCACCCGTACACATCCCTGAGTCACTGATGTTGCCTGTGCATCACAGCCACCAGTCGCTCGTGCCAACTCACCACAGCCCAGTGTCCTTGACACGCTTACCAAGAGGAATCTGAAATTGACGCACTTGTTCATGTCACCTCTAATTAACTGTCTCTGCTGTGTCGCTGGTTCAATTCCCTGACAAGCATCCATCAGGGACTGAGAGACTAGGGCACACTAGAACACTAGAAGCCGAATGATAGGTGATGGATGATGTAATATTTGGGATCAGCTTGAGAAAGCACACACTTGGCACAGTCTCGTGTCAGAGTTGAAATACATTTCTCATTCATAGATTTGATTAAGGGAAAGAGAATTGTTTAATTAAGAATGTCAGTCATCTTGATTAGCCCTCTTCATTAAGACCGCTCAGACTCTAGATTTGATTTCAGTACAGTGGTGTTCCTTTGCACTCTGTGTTTCAACAAAACTTCGAGGCACTTGGAATTTGAAACATGGTCAGTCTCAATGTAGCAAAGTTTATTTTAGTGAATGAGAGTCAATGAGAACTGGGGAATCACAGGATCAAAACCATTCAGTGATGAGCAAAGTTCTGTGGTTGATGGATGTTGATGAAGTGACTACACCAAGCGTCACAAAACATCTTTCAATTGCTCCTAGGGCTCCTATTCATTTTTAATATTAGTGTCTGTTAAAACCTGTGGATACGTCTATGGCAGTTAGCAGAGAACTGGACCGTGCATTCCAGTGGCGCTCTTCATGGCCTTCTCCTTTAGGCCAAACAGCCATGTGAAGTTTACATGAAATAAAAGTAAAACCATCTTTTTAATAGCTGTCACAGCCTGTGTGTTAAAGGAATCAGTTCAATGTAGTGAACCTGTCCCTGCGAGGGTTTATTCTGTTTGTTTCAGCCACTCCAAAGGAAGTCAGAGCGCTCTGGCAGCCAAATGCGTAGTTAATATGATGAATTGTTGCCCCCTACAGAACTGTGGGACTATTAAATGTCCATATGGAAAAGACTGTGAAAAGCACCAGAGATACAAATGCCAAAAGCAGTAGAAAATATTATTTATAATGTGCAACAGTTTCTGCATAACTAACATGTGAAGTACAGCTGGATCTGAAGCAGTGCGGGCAAGATTAAGAGAAGATGTCTAGTTAATTGTAAGGGATCTACTTTGAGGCTTTTTGCATATAAATCAATTAGAATTACTTCTACATGTGCAAAATGAAGTCTGACTTCTATCATTTAGAACATTGTAAAGAAACTGGAATCACAGCCTGTCAATACTTGTGGTGATATTAAAGAAAACTTTGTATTTTCTCTATTTCTATTTTATCTTATCTTCTACCTCTGTGTGTGTCTGTGTGTGAATGTGTGTGCGCAGCAACACCTGCAGGAGTTTTATAAGAAACAACAGGAGCAGCTTCATCTGCAGCTTCTCCAGCAGCAGCACCCTGGCAAGCAGGCTAAAGAGGTAGGTGCACCACATACGTATGGTTTCCACACACAACCAGAGAGGTAAATGACTCAAAAGTTGGACTCGTACATCAGTAGAAACAAGGGAATGGCTGTAAATGTAAAGTATGTGCATGTTTAAATTAAATTCTTAACTTTGTCAACCAACACCAAAAACAGAACGGCAACTATACTGTTGCAGCTTTTGCCTGGGAACGACTCCATTAATGAACTGTGCCAAGTGACGATTGCAAACACTATGCATACGCACATGCTCACGCACACTCACTGATTTATGGAAAGGAGACCAGAGACAAAGGGCCCTGGGTCCAACTCGTTAATGAACTGTTTCTGTGGGCGTGAAAACGTGCAAAAGTTACGGTATACGACGCTCATAAATCACAGTGACAGGCAGACGGTGGACGGACAAGGCTCTGTCTCGTCCTCTCTGGCTATCAGAGGAGAGGAGACGAGCATGACAGCCTTAGCCATATTTGCGTAACCGTGTTGGTGCTGAACCCTGAGAGCCTAGTCTAGAGACACATCCAGACAACACCGTACGTGTGGAAGCAGTTAAATTGATCAGAAAAAAAAAAAAGGTATCACATAAACACACACGCTCTGTCCTTTTTTTCTCTCGCTCCATGTTGCACCTCTCAGTGTCTCCTCAAGCAGCCCATTATGCTGCCCCTACAGGAAGCCGCGACTGACCTCCCGGCGGCTTTGTTTCTGTTTGGATTTGTGAATAGAGTTTTTCAGGGCCCCCGCCATCAAATATGGAATAGAAATTGCTCCCTTATTTCTCTTGAGGCAGGGTGGAGGTAGGGAGGGCAAACCGCCTCCCTCCATCACTCCATTATGCAGCCTGTTTTCCAGTGAGCGCATCACAAGTTTTACCCACCCCCTGTGCCTCCACCTCCATGCTTTTCCAGGTCCACCATGATATAAACATACAGGAACATGTGATCATGACATGCTATTTGCACATACACATGTGTATGGAGAGGAGAGGAAAAATTGAAAAACATGAAAATTACAGTCAAAAAAATCACTCATGCACCCCCACCCCCCCACCCCCCTCCTTTTTAATGTGAAAGATAAAAAAGACTGAGAATACAGAACCTGAGTTTTGTGTGTTTTATCACTTAAAATAGACATTTGTGATATGGCACTGTCTCACAGCTTAGAGCCAAAGCTTCACTACCTCTCAGACTTGTTTTGCTGCGGTGACTGAGCTTGATGTTTTTCATGTTGTTGTTGTTGTTGTTGTTGTTTTGCACCAGACTTACGCAATTGCCTGTCTGGCCCAGCCATAAACAACTCTGTGAGGCAGCGAGGAGAACAGAAAGGGGGTGAAAGAGGGGGGAGGCATTGTGCATGTGTGTCCGTGTCCGTGTCCGTGCGTGTGTGTGTGTGTCCGTGTGTGTGTGTGTGTGTGTGTGTGTGTGTGTGTGTGTGTGTGTGTTTGTGTGTGTTTATATTTGTGTCTGTGCGTTCACACGCACGTGATGCTGTAAATCTCTCATTCTGCCAGCTCCCTCTGGCCACATAAGCTGTAACAGACCATCAGTGAAGGCGAGACAATTAACTATCAGGGGTGGAGGGGGGTGTGGGATGGAGGATTATACCAGAGGCTTAGTATCATACACAATCGCAAGCCACATACACTGACAGGCTTGAGAGCTGGTATATCAGCACAGCTTTGTGCCTGTTTGTGAATGTGTTCTCATGGACACACACAAAGAGATGAGAAGGCAACAGCGCTGTGGTACAGCCCAAAAAACAGGAGGGAAGACTAAGTGAGCACAGACAGAGAGGGAGAGCGTGCACAGAGACAGAAGAAGAGGCAGAGAGGTATAGCTAAGGTCACGACAGAGGCGAGTGAGTGCAGGCTCTGTGCACGCACAGTACAAACACCGTCTTCTCGCTCCTCTCCCTCTCTCTCAGTTGTTAATTCGTCTGTAATTTTCCCTCCCTCCTCTCCTCTCCGCTCCTCTCTTGCTCCTCTCCTCCTCCTCCTCCTCCTCCTCTCTATAGCAACAGCAGCAGCAGCAGCAGCTGGCCGCCCAGCAGCTCGTCTTCCAGCAGCAGCTCCTGCAGATGCAGCAGCTCCAGCAGCAGCAGCACCTGCTCAACATGCAGCGGCAGGGCCTGCTCTCGCTGCCAGGGCCCGCTCCCGGCCAAGCCGCCCTGCCCGGACAGACCCTGCCCCCGCCAGGTAAGAGGAGGAGGAGGAGGACCAGAGGAGGGGATGGGATGAAAAGTGGTGGGAGGAAGAGGGAGAAGGGAAGTGTTGGATGTGGTCATGTTGATCCTGAGCACGTGACTCGCAGCAGTAGTGGTCACATGCTTCCTGTGTTTTGTCTGCAGGTGTGTTTGACACTGTCTGGATGGCTTTCATTGTCAGTTTTCCATCCAAGCCTGTCTGTCACACTCTGTCTGTCTGTCCTGCCTGTCTTTTTTTCCTCATTGGTATGCACATATATCCCCTCTAAGTATGTTTATCTCTAAGTATGTTTGTCTCTCTGCCGTCCCCTCATTGGTATGCTCTTCTGCCATCCACTTTTTTCCTAACGTTTTGTTTAGTCTTCCATTCATCCTCTCTCTTTCTCTCTCTCTCTCTCTCTCTCTCTCTCTCTCTCTCTCTCTCTCTCTCTCTCTCTCTCTCTCTGTCTTGTCTGATTATGGCTTTCTTTGTCTACCTGTGTTTCTCTCTCAGCTCTGCTCTGCCTGTGTTTGTTTTTGTTGTTTTTCCATCTCTGTTTCTATTCCCCAGCTATCCAACCCCCTCCTTCCTTCCCCGGTTGTTGTTGGTGGTGTTGTTGTTGTTGTTGTTGTTGTTGTTGTTGTTGTTGTTGTTGTTGTTGTTTACTGCCTTCACTGAGAGTCAGAGGAGAGGGGAAAGAGGGGCATAAAAGGACAGACAGAGAGAGAGAGAGAGAGGAGAGCAAAGCAGGCTCCATTTTCTCCTCCTGAGCCAAGTAAACACCTATGTTTGTTGTTTACCACCAAAATGGCGCATGCAGAAAACAACAGCCAGGGAGATGTTAGAGGGAAATCAAAGGAGTGAATATTGCCTAATTAGTTGCCAGGCGGAAAACAAGCAGTGGACAAAGCTTGTTTATCTCAAATGCAACATGCACACATTCACTGTAATCAATGTTTTATAGTTCCTGATTGAAAGACGACATGAGTGATTGGCTAATATCAATATCTAACTGGGCAGAGAAGAAGAAGAACAGTGCAGACCGGTTTGATTTATCGGTTATTGATGAGTTCAAATTCAGGTGTGCTGTGAAGTAGCACAGGATGATAGTCACTGAGTGAGGGCAAGGCCTTCAGTCATGCAGCTTTATATAACTTTTCTAGCTGTTGCATGAAGTTTGCAGAGTTTGGGATTCAGCTTTTGTCTCACACTGGATACTTCCACTTGCATTTAGTTGAACAGCCTTATTGATACATCAAGTTTAATTTTCCTTTTCTTCTCTTTCTTCCTCTCAACCTCTCCCTCCTCAACTTTTGCTTTCCTCCCCCTACTGTCTTCTCTGTCTCTTTTTCTTAATCATTTTTCTCTACCATCTTGATTACTCTAGCTGGCCTGAGCCCCGCAGAGCTCCAGCAGCTGTGGAAGGACGTGACCGGAGGTGGCGGTCACAGCATGGAGGACAACGGCATCAAACACAACAACAGCGGCAACGGCAACGGTAACGGCAACGGCGGGAGTGGCGGCGGTTTAGACCTCTCCACCAACAACTCTTCTTCAACTACCTCCTCCTCCAATCCCGCCAAAGCATCACCGCCCATCTCTCACCATTCCATCGCCAACGGCCAGTCCCCCGCCCTCAACCACAGAAGAGAGAGGGAAAGGGAACGAGAAAGGGAGCGAGAGAGGTATAATAATTTAAATGTCACCCGCCCACCTTTTTGATAAGGCACCAAAGCAAAAAGGAGACGAGAGGAAAAGTTTACAGAGGCATGTTTGTTACCCATGACACAAGCTTGTTGTTTTTTTTTTTTGTTTTTTGCGCCTTGATTCGATGTAGAAACACATTAGAACGCCACACTAACATCCAGAGTATTTGTCCTTGTTTAAAATAACAGCATTGCCACTACAGGGAAAACATGATATTTTGTTTATTTGTTCAATAGTTTATTAGTGTCTTGATAATATAAAAAAAATATAGCCTTGTTCTCCCAGGGGACCACGTGCGCCATTGAACGCACTTAGCTTGCACACAGATATCAAAAGCAGGGAAAGGAAGCCATGCAGGCAGGCTCACTTACAACAAGCCTCTCTGGCAGGCAAGACAAGGTAACCTGCTTGTACATTAAGTATTTAGTGCTTTCGCTCTGTTTTTTTTCTCTTTTGAAAATTACCTTCCTTGCTTACTTGTCATGTAAACAGAATACGTGATGCCTTGAGTGGCGTTTCCAGGATGTTTATCCTTGTGATGGCGTCTTTTATAAATGCACCCAGCACCAAAACACTGAGTGTTCACATATCTGCCTATCTGGCCCATGCATTATTCAAAGGCTTTTCTTGGGCGATATTATAATAAGGACTTAGGGTAGCGGTGTGTGCGTATGTGTCTGTGTGGATGCTTGGTAGAGACTCGCACTGGAGGTGGAAGTGCTGTGTAATTGGTTTAAAGTAGATGCTATCTCTCCAGTACCACTAAAAGGAGGCTTGAAAAAGATATCTTTAGAAGGAAGACAGAAAGAAAGAGAGAGGTAGGCAGGGAATGAGAAGAGGAGGAAGAAAGGGTGAAAAAAAGACTTTTTATCTGCCTGTGTCCCGGGGGGTGTGTGGTGTCTCATAATGATCGAACAAGGAGTATTGTCAGGAGCACTGCTTACTAACATGCCACAGATCGATATGGGAAACCCCCCCCCTGTAAAACATAGTGTGAGCTGCTCCAGTACTAACACACACATATTCATGGGCCACACACACAGGCATGCATGCACATAGTCATCGACCACACACAAACACGCACAGACATAACCTATAAGTAGACAAACACACGCGCACACTATGCATCGCGTTCTTATTCACATTTTCACACACAGACAGACGCGCGCAGCAGTGCCAAGACTAAAGGTTAAACTGTCATCTTTAATAGGATGTGCTGTCTAGGCAGGGTCGTAACTTATTTGGGTGCCATTTGAAAAACGCCTCAGCACCCCTGCTCCCCTTGTCCTCAAAGAACATAAGTTACACACAGTATTAATCTCCTGATGAAAATTATATGGCTGTCTGGATTTTTAATGTTTACTTGAAAGCCTCCGCCCCTCCTCCCCATAATAGCTTTACAAGATGGGATGGTGGCTGCAGTGGAGACAAAGCTACAGTTCACTCTACTGTAGATTTCCATTGTGGATGTTAGAGTGAACTTACGTTCAGCTGACATGTAGTAATGTGGTTGCATGTTGTGATTATTTAGATCGAGTGTATTCCTCTTACACATGTTCTCAAGGCCAATACAGCTTTAGTCACTGATTGTTCACCTGAACTGACCTGTTTTCATCTCTTTTCTAGCCGATAGTAACCTCACACAAGCCTTTGAAGATTCTGTGGTGAACTTGATGCTTCCCTCCCCTTCTTTCTCTCCTGACCTTCCTCCTCCTTTTGATTTTGTTGTGTTCATTTCTCTTTCTGTTTCTCTCTCTCTCTCTTTTTTTTTCTCTGTCTCTAGTTCATTACATGAAGAAAGTGGAGGGACCCACCCCCTGTACGGTCACGGTGTGTGTAAGTGGCCCGGCTGTGAGAACATCTGCGAGGACTTCGGACAGTTTTTGAAGTAAGAACATGCATTATGACACATGCTGTCTGCTCTGTTAACACCGTGTTGGTTTGATTGTGTTTGTGTGTACAAGAAGCAAATATCCATCTTACTGTAAAACACACAAAAGTTATCCCCTGCACTACAGCACCTCCTCTCTGTGGGTACAGAGGAGCCTAACAAAGAAAACATCACTGCCTTTTCAAAGAGCACATTTTGACCTTCCAGACAGCCGGTTGACAGGGTTCAGCTCTAGCAGCACAGGATTCAAACCAACTCTGATCCATAACAAATCTCCTTCCTGGCGTGGAAGGGCCTGATAGGTTTGTGAAAAAGCGTCAAAAGCTAATGGCAACTCGCACGGCCGCACACTTACCTCCACAACAAAGGCCCCCATTCACTGTTGTCATGGTGCAGGCGCCAGAGCGAATGAACTCTTCATGCTCCATCAACAATTTAGTTAATTAGCTCATTTGTAATTGGCCGGCTTTGTTGCCAGGATGTTAGTGGGGGGACATCAAAGGAAGAAGGTGTTTGCAGCACTGCTGATTACAGGTTATCACATTGCCAC